GTCCCCTAGCGCCAAACACTATGGGGGCGTACGGTCCCCTAGCGCCAAGCGCTATTGGGGCGTACGGTCCCCTAACATCAGCCATACTTAAATTGTGGTTGGGGCAATGTTCCCGGACTAGATATATAGATCTAGATCTAGATCTATACTTCATTTGAAAATGCCTTCAAAAGGCACTGCGAGGAAACAAGACTGCTTGACTTTGGCGGTATGTAACCTATTTTGCATTTGGTATACCTTTGCATTTTGTCACCCCTCCTAAAGCAAAGCCTAAAACTTGAATTTTAAAACGAAGTGTATACAGACCCGGTAACCGGGAACAAAGTCATGAAGTATACAGACCCGGTAAGGGAACTCTTTTGTGATTTCGGGAAGTTTCAACGCCCAGACACGGTAGAAATCTAGTGTGTGTGTGAGAGAGAGGTGCTAGCAAATGTAATGACATGCCCCAGTTGGCAGGAGGGAACGGGAGGAAGAAGGAGTGTGAAATAGATGGGGACAAAGGAAGACAGAGACAAACAAAGAAAAAGAGAAGGCGAGCGATACAGAGAGAGAGAGAGAAATAGAGAGGGTGAGTGCTCGATTGAAATTATGACTCTGTTCTTTTCTTCAAATTCCGTCTTGCGATTCCTCCAACTCCAAAACGGAGGAAAAACGATCGTTCATCGAAAAGACATCCGCAATCTTCATTTAGATCTAGCCGCGAAACTAGATCAAAGATTTATGTCTGTCTGCCTAGATCTAGACCTAGGCCACAGATCTAGAAGAACCTAGGTCTACCCTGAGCCAAGAGGGCGCAGAAACTCTCCGAAACCACAAAAGAGTTCCCCTACTGGGTCTGTATACTTTGTGACTTGGTTCCCGTTTACCGGGTCTGTATACACTCCCATTTTAAAAACCCTCCACGCCCCCGACGCCTTCCCCCCGTTCACATACACACACACACTCAAACACACCCACCCACTCACACACTCGCACACTCACAAACACACACACACATGTGTACGCGCGTGCCACTCCCTTTGCAAATAACAATACAAATCTTGAGAATGGAAACGGTTCGTAGAATGTTCAATGAAAGTTTATTTTTCCGAGCGTTCGGAGAAATAGAGCCGGCCAAATTTTTACTTTGCTACAGATCGCACATAACATAAAGCCACCAAAACTGTCCCAAAGCAATTATTTCCAAGAAAATTTCAAACCAAACTTTAAAATATCAAATTATGGCAAGGGTTACAACAGAGGAACATGCCCTCCCTGTAGCCCCCCAGATTTTTTTTTTAGCCGAGGGGGGCTGGCCGCCCTG